GTTGTGGTTGTTGTGGCTGTTGTGGTTGTTGTGGTTGTGGTTGTGGTTGTTGTTGTGGTTGTTGTTGTTGTTGTTGCTGTTGTTGTTTGTTGTTGTCGTAGTAGTCATTGTAGTCAAAGTAGTCATAGTAGTCGTCCTCGTAGTAGTACAATTGGAAGCAGTTGTTGTTGCAGTTGTTGTTGTAGTTGTTCTTGCTGGTGTTGTTGTGATTGTTGTTGGTGTTGTCGCTGCTGTCGCTATTGTACCTGCTGTGCCGGCAGCAGCAACAAAAGCAGCTGCACTAGGAATAGTAGCAACAGAAAAAGGAGTAGAAGCCTGAGTAGTAGGAGCAGTACGACTAATAGTAGGAGCAGGAGGAGCAGTGGTAGAAGTAATAGAAGTAGTAGACGTAGTAGAAATAGTAGAAGTAGTAGAGGAAGTAGTAGAAGTAGTAGTAGAAGTAGTAGTAGAAGTAGTAGTAGTAGTAGTAGCAGCAGGAGTAATAGTAGTAGTAGTAGTAGTAGCAGGAGTAGTAGTAGTAGTAGTAGTACTACTACTACTACTACTAGTACTGGTACTGGTACTAGTACTAGTACTAGTAGTAGTAGTAGTAGTAGTAGTAGTAGCAGTAGCAGTAGCAATAGTAATAGTAGGAGTAGTAGTAGTAGTAGCAATAGTAATAGTAGTAATAGTAGTAATAGTAGTAATAGTAGTAATAGTAGTAATAGTAGTAGTAGTAGTAATACTAGTAGTAGTAGTAGTAATAGTAGTAGTAGTAGGTAGTAGGTAGTAGGTAGTAGGTAGTAGTAAGTAGTAAGTAGTAAGTAGTAAGTAGTAAGTAGTAAGTAGTAAGTAGTAAGTAGTAAGTAGTAAGTAGTAAGTAGTAAGTCGTAAGTCGTAAGTCGTAAGTCGTAAGTCGTAAGTCGTAAGTCGTAAGTCGTAAGTCGTAAGTCGTAAGTAGTAAGTAGTAAGTAGTAAGTAGTAAGTAGTAAGTAGTAAGTAGTAAGTAGTAAGTAGTAAGTCGTAAGTCGTAAGTCGTAAGTCGTAAGTCGTAAGTCGTAAGTCGTAAGTCGTAAGTCGTAAGTAGTAAGTAGTAAGTAGTAAGTAGTAAGTAGTAAGTAGTAAGTAGTAAGTAAGTAAGTAGTAAGTCGTAAGTCGTAAGTCGTAAGTAGTAAGTAGTAAGTAAGTAAGTAGTAGTAGTAAGTAGTAAGTAGTAAGTAGTAAGTAGTAAGTAGTAAGTAGTAAGTAGTAAGTAGTAAGTAGTAAGTAGTAGTAGTAGGTAGTAGGTAGTAGGTAGTAGGTAGTAGGTAGTAGGAAGTAGGAAGTAGGAAGTAGGAAGTAGTAAGTAGTCAGGAGTCAGTAGCCAGTAGTCAGTAGTCAGTAGTCAGTAGTGAGTAGTGAGTGACCAGTAGTGAGTAGTGAGTAGTGAGTAGTGAGTAGTGAGTAGTGAGTAGTGAGTAGTGAGTAGTGAGTAGTGAGTAGTGAGTAGTGGGTAGTGGGTAGTGGGTAGTGGTAGTAGTAGTAGTAGTAGTAGTAGTAGTAGGTAGTAGTAGGTAGTAGTAGGTAGTAGTAGGTAGTAGTAGGTAGTAGTAGGTAGTAGTAGGTAGTAGGAGGTAGTAGTAGGTAGTAGGTAGTAGTAGGTAGTAGTAGGTAGTAGTAGGTAGTAGTAGGTAGTAGTAGGTAGTAGTAGGTAGTAGTAGGTAGGTAGTAGTAGGTAGTAGTAGGTAGTAGTAGGTAGTAGTAGGTAGTAGTAGGTAGTAGTAGGTAGTAGTAGGTAGTAGTAGGTAGTAGTAGGTAGTAGTAGGTAGTAGTAGGTAGTAGTAGGTAGTAGTAGGTAGTAGTAGGTAGTACTAGGTAGTACTAGGTAGTAGTAGGTAGTAGCTAGTAGTAGCTAGTAGTAGCTAGTAGTAGCTAGTAGTAGCTAGTAGTAGCTAGTAGTAGCTAGTAGTAGCTAGTAGTAGCTAGTAGTAGCTAGTAGTAGGTAGTATCTACCTACCTACCTACCTATCTTTCTTCCATGTATCTATCTATCTATCGATCTATCTCTCTCTCTGTCTCTCTCTCTCTCTTTCATCTAATTACCTATCTATCTATCTATCTATCTGTCTATCTATCTATCTCTCTCTCTCTCCCTTTCATCTGTCTATCTGTCTAGCTGTCTACCTGTCTATCTGTCTATCTATCTATCTGTGGTGCAGCGTCATTCAGTCTAATGTAGTGTAGTGTAATGTAGTGTAGTGGAGTGTAGTGTAATGTAGTGTAGTGTAATGTAGTGTAGTGTAATTTAGTGTAGTGGAGTGTAGTGGAGTGTAGTTGTGTAGTCGTAGTTGTAGTTGTAGTGTAGTGGAGTGTAGTGTAGTGTAATGTAGTGAAGTGTAGTGGAAGGTAGTGTAGTGTAATGTAGTGTAGTGTAGTTTAGTGTAGTGAAGTGTACTGGAGTGTAGTTGTGTAGTTGTGTAGTTGTGTAGTTGTAGTTGTAGTGTAGTGGAGTGTAGTGTAGTGTAACGTAGTGAAGTGTAGTGGAAGGTAGTATAGTGTAATGTAGTGTAGTGTAGTCTAGTGGAGTGCAGTGTCGTGTAATGTAGTGCAGTGTAGTGTAATTTAGTGTAGTGGAGTGTAGTGGAGTGTAGTTGTGTAGTTGTAGTTGTAGTGTTGTGGAGTGTAATGTAGTGTAATTAGTGTAGTGTAGTGGAGTGTAGTGTAGTGTAATAGTGTAACGTAGTGTAGTGAAGCGAAGCGAAGCGACATCTGAACCTCCAAAAGTGGTCCGAATCCCTGGTGTTTTTAACATTTTGACTTCGAAATGTGCTTCTCCCCACAACGGCGTGCACTTTTTCATCTCTCATCTGGCCAGATGGCTCCGCACCCGCCGCTTTAGCGAGCCTACTTTTCGACCCTTCGGAGCCTCAAATCATTGGAAAACACACAGTGTTTCGCGACTTTCCTACCTTTTCGCGCATCTGCATCTTCTTTCTTCTGACTCTTTCTCTTCTACTCTTCTCTCTTCTAATCTTTCTCTTCTCTCTGCCTCTGCCCTGCTCTGCTTTTCATCTGTCCATATTGTCGGAAGTTTGACTTCTAAACTTCCTTCGACAAGATCATACAAGTATGAATGTTTGCCCTCCAGCCACATTCATAGATCCTTGGACTTTCATCCTGCCAGCTATGCAGCCGGAAGGCCAAACATGGTTCGAAGACGGCTGCCCAGGGCGCAGTTGCTCTTACAAATGATGAAGGCCATGTCTGGAAACTCCGCATCCTCTGCCTCGAAGCTGCGAAGCTGGGACGACTGGGATGGGAGACGAAGATATGAGGCACCAGTGGATCCCATGACTTTCTAAAGTGGAGTTCTAGATTTAATATAATGACTCATCAGCAAACGGCGAAAATTCCACAAGAAAAAATATGCAATACAACTGACAATCCAAAGTTTCGCTTTTCCCCGTGGCCGCCATGGTCGCCATGGCCTTCTGTTTATCCACAAACTTTTGGGCCACCGAAGTCATGGTCTCTTCAATTTGCTTCTTCTCCTCATCACTGGAGGTCTCGCAGAAGACCAGGAAAGTAGGAACCTCCAGTGGGAGAAATGGATAAGGTACTCGTACCCCCAAACTATTCTTGGTAGTGCTGGAAATAGTATTGGGGTTGTTTATCACTATAACAATATTAATTAATTACTCATAGTGTCACTAGCAATACCACTAGTAAGATCTGATATGATGTTCAATCCAGCAGCTAGTGCTACTATGTGCTATTGGTGATACTAAACTAGTCCAACTATGAATTTATAGAACCCCCCACTAACATAGACCCTTAGAATCCATGATTAGCTCATTTTTTGTTGGGGTATGCTGACCCATGCAAAAATGCAAAAGAAAACCATGCGGCAAGAAATCCCTAGTGCAATGCCCAAAAAGTCTGGAAAGAAATCTGCAACCATTTGATTCTTGGTGTTAAATGGGCTCCTTTGCTTCCTATATCTTCCTATTTAAGAAGGATACTGTAATCACCCCCGGCTCCCAACAACTCCCCAAAGATCGCACCTCTTCGATGTCCCCAGGGCCAAATTCCAAGTTGGAGACCTTGATGCTACGGCGTCAGCTGGAAAATCCGGGCTCAACTCGCGTACAAAAGAACGTCTTGATGATGGATGTTGGGAAATCTAAATCATTCTTGCAGTTCAATGGGATCAGGTTACCATGGTTAACATATGTTAACATCTAGCTACATTTGAAAGTGATATGTTCAAAAGTGAGCACCAGAAACAGCCCTCAAAACCGGCAACATGCCGTCCAAATGACAGGCTTGGGATGCCAGGGAAGCTCCGCTCCCGTGGGATCTGCGGTGACTGCATCCCGACCTTTCAGCGTCACCACGTTGTAGTCGGCGTCCAAGACCACCTGAGCCGACGGAAGATGATGGAGCTGGAGACCTTCCTTGTTGGGTTTCAGAGTTTCACATGATGCTAGAAAACATTCATATTGAATCATTGAAGTGTCATGAAATATTGTGAAATCAGGAAACAAAGTGTTTTCCAGCATTTCAAGCCTGGTAGACATCAGGCTACATGAACCTCTGAAGTCATGGAAGAGTGAGTCATCTGGCGCAAAGGACGCATCTTCCTGTTGGTTGCAAGGGATTCCCAGTATGGGTGAGAATAAATGAGAATCCCCAATCAACCAGGTAGTAAAATTATATATATATAATATAAATTGTATAACCTCAGTACGAAGTCAACCACGCTTGCGCTTCTTCACATCCCTGCAGCTCTGTTGCTAGCGAAGGGATCCCCTGCACTTTGAAAGCACTGGAGAGCTGTTCCTGGAGTAAAACTGTCCAAACTCTGGCAGCCTGGTCTTCCCATGAAAAAAAGGGTGGCAGCTGGCAGCCTCCGTCCATCCCTGGCTCCTTCAACTTGCGATCGGAGAAGTCCAAAGCCAACCAGGGCATCTCACCAAAATATTCCTCTGCGCGAAGCCAGCCATCCAAAATCACAAAACAGATGGGATGATACTGGTGGGTCTGTTCATCAAGTGGGAAGCTCATACATCCAGATGGCAAATAAAGTCTTGAGCGAACACCATGGAAAAAAAACAAATGAATCAACGGATTGGACTCCTGGGCCACATTGAATCTACATGACCTCCCTTTCTCTGTGGTCAATCCGAAGCTGACGTTCCACAGTTCTTCTATTCTCGGGTCTAAGGACTCTAACCTGGCCATGGGGATCCACCATTTTTGTAGATGAGTCTCTTATTGAACAGTGCCTGCCCACTGCCACATATATTATATTATTTCATTATTTTAATCATCATTGTCTCATATATTGTGTGAAAATGTATACATCGAAGGTAACAGAATCCTCCAGAAATTCCTGCAAGATGCATTGAAGGCCGCTTCATCTCTGTCGGAGGACACGAAGACAACCTCCAAGCCCTTCGCTTTGAGGTCCTCGCGACGAACTGGAAGGTGAAAAATCCAGGGATTGTCCCAATCCTGTCATGGGGTATCCCTTATGGGGTCATTGTAATATGCTATATGTTACAAATATGTCATAATATGTCACTTGTTTTTGTCGTAATAAAGTGAGGTCCAACATTTCTTTTGAATGAATAAAGCCATACACCCAATTTGATAAGTCAGAATCCATGGTGGGTCTCCAAATAAATGGAGACTCCCTCCCCCCAATCCCCTGAAAATTCGGTGCCTGCATGTACCACTCTGCCAACTGAGGGGTGAAACCGCGGCAGGGTGGACACCAGTGGGCGCTGAAGTACAATGCCAAAGCTTGCTTCCCAGCCATCGCCTGGATGAAATCTGCGGGGAAACTGGCGACTTCCTGGGAACCGCAACATCCAGACCAAGCACAGCCAATATATATTTATATATATATTATACATATAATATATATATATATATATCAATCACATATACCAACCAACAACCAACCAACAACCAACCAACAACCAACCAACAACCAACCAACCATCTCCACCATCAACTACGGACCATCAATCATCAACCATCCATCGGTCGACTGTTCCAAGCCTCAGTCAACGTCATGGTTCCTGCCGGACCGGTCAATTTCATCTTCTCCACCAGGTCTTTGGCCTTGGGAGGAATCCTCAGATGATGGACGTCCACCAGGATGGGGATTTCATGGACATTTTATGGGGATTTAGCCAGAAACTGTCACTCTCCCATCTGATTAAGATTAATATAGTTTAGTTTAATTATGTTTAATTAATTAGTCCCATTGCTGTATGGGATCCCAAAATGAACATTTCCGATACCAAAACATGTTAATGAAGAAGGGTAGTATTACAGGGAGGGATTACTACTGGGGTACAGTACAATTACAAAAACCGGAACATCCGGGTTTTCGTTGGGTAATGGGCCAGTTATGGTTGTTCGGGTGTCCCGTTAGCAAATCTTGCAGGAATGGGAAAATCAATGGATTTCCGCAGGTTCTCCCCTACCTGGGAGGTTTAGGTCATGCTTGGTACCAAGAGCAACGATATTATGATCCTGCCAAATATTGAATTTCCCCATATGCTCCCCAGAAATCAATAGATTCAAAAATACTAAACTATATTGTCTATTGTTTTCAGGGGTTGGTGTAATGTTAGGTGGAAGGAACTAAGAACGTCCGAAGTAGCAAGAAACATGTTAGGGGGACATAAATATCATAAGTTGGATCCATGCCCAACTGTTCAAAGCATTTCAAAACGACATTCAACGATTCTCTGGTTTCCGAGAAGCGAGCCTACGGAATCCTACGGAGCCTGCACAGTCATGCCAAGTGGCCATGGCATGTCTTCACCCGTGGGGTCTTTGGAAACCGCCTCCCTTCCGTCCTTAGTGATGAGTTTGCCATCAGCATCCAAGATGATGAGACTTGGAATGCCCTGGACTTTGAAGGTCTTGTTCAACTTCGACAGGGTCTCCTGGGTCCAGTTGTTGGTGTTTGGCTTTCTGGGATGTCTGGGATGTCTGGGATGGGACAAAACATCTGCTCCTTGGCATTGAAGTCCACTGCCAACCATGGCTGCTCATTGAAGTATTCCTTGAAGGAGTCTTCATCCCTGTCTCCAGTGACGAAGACCACTTCCAAGCCTTTTGCCTTCAAGTCCTTTCAGGAACTGTGAGATTCTGTGAGTAATTGGCCAGGGCTGCGAGGACGAGTTTTGCATTGCAGGATGCGGTTTCAAAAGGCAAAGGACCTTCCAAAACATCCCCAAAATCGGTCAACAAAAACTGGGCATAACTCCAACAAAAAACAACTCCCACCAGCCACCAGAGTCTCCTTTTCGTACCACTCTGCCAACTTAGGGGTGAAACCACGGCAGGGTGGACACCAGTGAGCGCTGAAGTACAATGCCACAGCCTTCTTGCCCTTCAGAGCCTGATCAGCACAGGGGGGGTGTCAAAAAAATGGAAAAAAACATGGTTAAGAAAGTTCCCTATTGTTCCCTACTATTCCTCTCAACATTGCCATAGATTGAGGCATCCTGCCTTTTGCGACAAAAACACACCAACGTCGTTGTCGAAATAGAGAACATTGGAAGTGTTCAAACGTGTGCAGAAGTGTTCTGAAGCCGCGTAACGGTCGATGAAAAAATGTCAAAGTCAACAGCCAATGCCACAGTCATGACAGTGCATGGTACTGAGAAGTAAGAGCACTTTCTCAACCATTGAGACTGATTCACCCAAGGGGAGGAAGTCCTAGCCTCTGCGGTGTTCTGCTCCACACATCCTTTTCCAAGCACCTCAGAAAGTGGTCTCAGTAGTCTCAAGTCCTCCCCACCAGGGCCCGCTAGCTGTGTCTCCACTCTTTTTGATCGACATCGGTTTTCTTCAATGTTTGCATACCATGTATCCCCGTACTTGCCTGTCAAGTGCGGCTGTAATTGGCGGATCACGGTGGATCTATGGTTCCAGGTCTGTGGTGAATGAATCTTCATCCCCCCAAAATATGAACGGCTCATGACGCGGCCAAACATTCACTAAGCCTCACACCGTGGATCCCAGCAGCTCAATCAAGCTCATGGTGATCGATTTTTGGTGAGGGGTCTAAGTCTTGGGCCAATGTGATCTGCGGGAAAAAAAACTGGAGTTTCACATAGTTTCACTGCATTTTTTCAGAAAACAACTACAGTAACTTAGAAGTTTAAATGATCCAACTCTGACAGTTTGGGCTTACACTTCCGAACTATGTTGTATTCATTCTCTGTACACTGTAGCCACTGGCATCATCTCCCAGAAATGTGTATCAGCAGGTCTCTTGCATGGCCTTGTTGACATTGGCCTTGGCTACACGGGCAAAACGCTCGAAGAGGTTGTCGCCGGCAAAACGGACCTCGGACTGCTCGATGGCTGCAACCATCAGGGCCCCGTTCGATGGCAGTGTTGAAACATGTTGAAACGGCTGACTGATCAACCGAAATCAACACAATTTGAGCCATAGCCAGAGAGATTGTTTTGGAGTAACCACAAGATTGATCATCTTTCCTCTGACAAAATCCTTCCTGAAGACTGCGAAAATACCATCATAGGTGCTGAAAACCCATCTCGCCAGCAATTTAAACGCAGCAATGGCGCTGAGCCCAACTAGTTCAAGATTTTTCCACAAAACAACCAACAAACAACAACCAACTGATTAATGTTGTTTACTTTCCCACTTATAAACCAGCCCCAATAACTTACAATTTGATATCCTACCATAAATGGCTTGTTAGAAACATCCCCAAATTGTGGTTTGACCACCGGGTGCCGGGACGGTTGGTGGCGTCGCTCTTGGCATTGGTGGCCTGGGCCAATTTTTGTGCCACGGAAAGCGGGCCATGCTTTGGGGTAGATGATTTGCCTACGAAAAATCAATGAATTTAATGGATTAGTCTCAAAGAATTGGTAGTTCAATGGATTTAATCAACAAACATGGTGATGATTTTTGGTTGGTGATGTCAGAAAGTTTTCACCAACCAAAAATGGGGAACTCAATGGATTTGAGAAACCAAAAATGGTTGCCCCTGAGATCATCACTGGCCCACAAAGGCGCTCCCGGCATGCAAACACCTCAGTTTCATATATGTATGTATATATATAATATATATATAATATATATATAATATATATATAATATATATACATATACATACATTGTAGATACATGTAGATACAATAGATAAGTATCATAAGATGGGGACCAGAGATAAAATGGGCGTTGCTCAGCTACAGGCTCAGTGACAAATGCCATAGAGGCGGCACAGCATGTTGAATCAGTTGGTTTGCGGAAGCCGATTTAATGGGAGAAATGCCGCTTGATGGTCATACCTATCAATCTTGATTACATTCCCAAGCACATTTGTCCTATCCTAAAATTATTCATCAATCATCCAATATATACTTTTTGGGGTACAGCCTAGCAGCCTGGCGCAATCTGACCACCAAGGACAACTCAACCACGTCACTACAATGTCACGACCATGTCACTACAATCTCCAAACAAAACCGTCTTGTCCAAAATTGTCTTCTGTGCTGGATTCGTTGATGGGCACAGGTACTTTGAGCCTTGAGCTGTCCTAAGATTTGCAATCTGGAACCTCATTGTACTCCATGGTTTATCATAATCATTTTCCCGATTAACAGGATTGCTCCCATCACCCCAAATACAAGGAAGAAAATTGCCAGAAAATATGCAAAATTACCCATTGTCTCCTTTGTAGCTAGAAATTACCTATGGTTTGCACCCCCGCCCATTTTGGTATAGCATCTGGACACATTCGGATCGATAAGTTAAACCCGATGATTCATTATGACAAGTTAACTTAAGTGATAAATATAGTTCACCCGAATAGTAACATTGGGATGATAGTATCTAGCATCGTAATATTATATATATATATATTATATATATTATATAATAGTAATTATCATTGCAAAAGGGTTCATGTGCATGCATGTACAACTGGACAGATGTAGTATCAGTTCTTATCACTGCTGGACAGGTGAAGTATCTGTTCTTATCAGTGCAACAACTGCCTGTGATTGCGCAGGCTCTTAATGGATCAAAAGTCGCGCTGCTCTGCCTAACACAGGTTATGAGCCCAACGCTCAGCTGAAGGGGCGTTTGCCATGTCGTGGACTAGGTCGTGTTCGGTGCCACTTGGTAGAAGTGGACCTCGTGCTCTACGGCTGGATCAAGAAGGCCAAGAAGGGCATGGAAGAGACCGAGCTGGACATGATGGCAGAGACCTTCGGCGTGGAGATGAAAGAGCTCTACCCAATGGCAGTGATGGTCAAGGTGGAGGACGAGCTCTACTACGAGGCGAACATGGAGGGGCTCTACGGCAAGAACTGGACGTGAGCACTGACCTGTTGGACTTAGGCACCGAGCCGAATCCGTGGTGGTCAGAGGTGGTTCAACGAGAACACCTACAAGAAGCACGTCAGTTGGCCATGGAGCAGCCGATGTGGACGCCAAGGGAAGAGGTCTCAGTCAAGGAGGACCTTCCGGAGATAGAAGATGCAGACGCGTCGCGAGAGTTGGAGCCGCTGGCAATGGGACGAATGAGTGCTCCGTCAAGTTGGAGTACAAGACGAGGTGTGGCCTTGCAGACTCAAGGGGCTATGCCATCAAATGATGATGAAGACCTTCGGCATCCTCAAGATGTTGGACAAGGTCAACATGCTGTACAGATTCAAGGTGTAGACCTTCGACATCCTCAAGATGTTGGACAAGGTCGACATGCAGTACACCCTCAAGGTGTGGACCGACAGTATCCTCAAGATGCTGGACAAGGTCAAGACCTTCGGTATCCTCAAGATGCTGGACAAGGTCACCGTGAAGTACACCCTCAAGGTGTGGACCGACAGTATCCTCAAGATGCTGGACAAGGTCAAGACCTTCAGTATCCTCAAGATGCTGGACAAGGTCACCGTGAAGTGCACCCTCAAGGTGTGGGCCGACAGTATCCTCAAGATGCTGGACAAGGTCAACGTGCTGGACACCCTCAAGGTGTCGAACAATGTGGACACCCTCAAGGTGTTAGACGTGATGGGCACCCTCAAGGTGTCGAGCAAGTTAGGCACCCTCAAGGTGTCGATCAAGATGAACACCCTCAAGGTGTTGAACAAGTTGGGCACCATCGAGGTGTCGCGACAGGGCTACTTGCTGGAGAAGTGCAACGTTCTGGCAAGGGGCATGGTCAAGGAAGAGTTGTGCAGCCCAATGGGATGGGAGGTGAGATACCATCTCATGGGGTTGCAAGACAAGGTGGGAAGACTGGAGGACTGGGAGGTGAGATACCAGTTCAAAGGTCTGACATCATGCAAGAGGCTGGACACCATCGAGGAGTCAGCCGTGGACCCTCAAGGTCTGAAGTTAATGTGCAAGAGGCTGGACACCATCGAGGAGTCAGCCGTCATGGACCCTCAAGGTCTGAAGGAAATGTGCAAGAGACTGGACGCCACCGAGGAGTCAGTCATGGTTATGGACCTGAACGACGTCAAGTTCAAGGTCATCGAACAGTACCAAGTGGTCTGCGAGATCAATCTCAAAGACGAGGTCATCGGCAAGATGATGGATCACCCTTGGAAAGAGTTCCAATGGGAGTGCAACAGTATGAGATGAGACGACAGATGCCACGTGAGGCAAGTCGGCAACCACAAGGTGGAGTACAAGGTTGTAGCACAACTACCTTTGTGGATGATGTCAATCAACAAGGAAGAGATGAGCGTGATGAGCTCAAGCGGGCTTTGGAGCAATCAATGGTTGAAGAGCTTCACAGACAGAAGCTTGAGATGGAGAAACAAAAGGAAGAGATGAAGAAGTATGCTGAGGACTTGCAACGCCAGCGTGATGAGTTTGAAAAGAAGAATGAGGAGTTGCAGAAGGAGCTCAAGAAGAAGAGTTCAAGCGTGGAACCACCAAGGACACCACCGCGCCGACCTCAGTACTACTCGCTGTCACCAAGAACAACACCTGGAGGAACTCAAGTTCCACCGGGACAACCACCACGGGAGGTAGCAGATCTTCCAGAACTTCCACCATGGCAGTTTGACCCATTTGCAGTTGATGAGCACGTGGGTGGTGGAACAGGTTTTGATGGTTTGGAGGATTTTTGGACTCCAGTGGATCAACAACCACAACAGCAGCATCATCTTCAACCTGGAGCAGATCGTTTTGCATGGTTGGACAGAGAGGTCAGGATGATGCATGGTGAAAGACCAAGGTTGACAGGTGAGTACTGGGAGCAACCGGTGCACAGGCATGGTGGTCCACCAGCGGATTTTGGTTATGTTCCGCAACCACCACCACAACCGCCTCAAGGACATGGAGTTGGACCTTCTGGTGTACCAATGTATGCAGCACCAATGCAATATGGTTCAGTGCCACTGCAATCGCAACAACCTCAACCACAAGCAAAAGGTCCTGATGGCGAAGCTTCTGAGGTGCTGAGAAATGTGCCGATTACACTGCCAATTTTGAAGGACGTGTCAGAGCCTCAGGCTGCCCTTCGTGCAGGAGATTGGTTAAGTGAGTTGATGCCGCTGATCTCAGATGTCTCAGAAGGCGCAAGAGTGTGGTGGACTGGACTGGTACAACGAGCTCAAGATGCCTATGCAACATGGCTGACAGCGGGTCCAATGGATCGCATGGCTGTGCAACCTGACCTTCAAGTGGAGAACAAGTATGTCAGGTTGGAGTCTCGCGTGCTGTCAATGCTGTTAGCTGCAGTGCCACAGACGGTCAAACAAGAAGCAATCTCTTTGCGAGAGATGACATGCGTGCAGCTGGTGTTTCGCATCTTGAAGCTGTACCAACCTGGTGGTCTCAACGAGAAAAGCACCATCCTCAACAACTTGACCCAAACAACAACAGCCAAATCTGCAGCTGAAGCTGGTGAGATGCTACGCCAATGGCGACGTCAACTCCTGCGAGCTCGTGAACTTGGACTACAGG